CCAGATTAAATACGTGAACAATGTCCACTAGGTGTCACTAAGGCTCCATATTTCACTTTAAATTTACCATTGGAAAACTAAACATAATGATGGAGTCAGCAAACTGTCAGTATTGATGATCTGACCGTAGCATCACCTGGACATGTGGCTGTTTATTTGTAACTGGACTGAATTGTATGTTTTTGTTTTTTTTTGTTTGATAGGACTGTGCCAGATCTGTTAAATTGACCTTAGACCTGGTGTGGTAAACCAGAGAGTTCTGGTTTGAGCTCTACAGGTCTGTAGTGTTCTTAATGTTTTTTAGATTGATTTAATAAACATTTGGTCATTTTTGTTTTTTGCAGTTCTGTCGCTGCCCCTGCTGTTCTCTTAGAGTCTGATTTTCTTTTTCATTTATTTTGGTTTTTAATGTTTTTGGGTCGCTTCCTGCAAATACACACCCTCTTATTTTGTAATAGTAAATATTATTGATTTCATGCTGGCTGTTTCTTGCACTTCGGCTAAAAGTGGCCGTAACATGTGCCTGGTTGTTTGTCTCTGTGTTGCCCTGCGACAGACTGGCGACCTGTCCAGGAGACCCCGCCTCTTGCCCTTTGACCTCTGGAGATGGGAACCAGCACCCCTCATGATCTCACAGAGAACAAGGTGTTTGGTAATGAATGGATGTTTTTATCTCAGTAACATGAAAGTCCAGGAGTTCAGAAAAAATGTTTTAACTCGGGAAGAGCTCAGAAATCAATATTTGGTGGAAAAACCATTTTATGCATCTTGGCTTTCCACCAGTTTTTCACACTACTTTTGGTCTTAGGCCTGAAAGGGTCACCAAAAATGGACCTTTTTGGCACAAAAATTCAAGCAGTTGAACTTTGTTTAATGACTTGTTACTATCATCTTTCTCTTGATCACATTCCAGAGGTTTTCAATGGGATTCAGGTCTGGGGATCAGTGGACTCTTACATTTTTACAGAACTGATCTCAACTGCAAAATCATTGTCTTTGAATTCCCAGTTGAATCCAAACTGGTTTTCAGGTTTTCCAAACACCTTGTAACAGCAGATAAGTGGACTAAAACCAGGTCAGTCTGAAGAAAAGCTGAAGAAAACAACCTGAAGGAGCTGCTTTGGTTTAACACACTGAGGGATTAACAGGTTAATTCTGAGGTTTGGTTTTAGTTTCCTAAACATGTTGCATTGAAGAAAAGTTTCCACTGCTGAGCCACAGACAGACAGACAGACAGACAGACAGACAGACAGACAGACAGACAGGAACTTCATGTTCAGGCTGAAGCTGCTGAAGTTTTAACAGTTCAGACATTTAAAATAAAAACAGTGACTGGAAACATGAGAATGAAACATTAAATACATTCATGAGGTTTTACAGAGAAGAAACTAAAACATTCAGATGGACATTTTTCTGGACCTGAAGTTGATTTTATTCTGCTTTCATTTATTGTAATGATCATAAATCAGATTCTTCTGAATGAACATCTTTATAATGTTTCCAGTTTATAACAGAAAGCTATCAGAGTATAACTGATGTTTTCTCCCTGCTGTCAGTGGATCCAGGAGTTTCAGCATCAAAGTTTTTCTTCTTCTTCTGTCCTGGTGGCGTACAGAACAGCCGTGAAGCAGCGCCGCCTCAGAGCTGCAGAAGAAGAAAACATCAAATCACTGGAGCTGAATCATTTAGCTGCAGCTAGGCTAGCCTCTTTAGCAGCAGCTAGGCTAGCCTCTTTAGCAGCAGCTAGCCTCTTTAGCAGCACTGCTGTAATATTTGTGTTGAAGTGCAGCATTAGAGCAGGTTGGCTGCATCAGGAAGCGTTTTCTGGTCTCTACCAGCAGCTGAAACCTCAAAGCTTCTCACCTTTATTCACCCAGTGAGACGTTTCCACATCACAGTGAGAAGCAAACAGTTTGTCAGGTTTGAGTCGACAGCTGAAGACCAAACCACAGCCTGAGGCTCAGCCTGCTGCTGCAGCTAAAGCAGCTTCACATGTTTCTGTCAGGCATGAAAAACAGCCTGATCTCTGATGATCATCACAGGATCGTTTCTATGTGAGGCTCAGAGAGGAAGAAACCAGGACCAACTGGTCACTGACTGAATTAACAACAAAGATTCAGACTCTGTTTATTTCACTGATGGAAAACTAAACATTTATTCAGGAGCTCAGACTGGAAACCTGAGTCTGAAGTGAAAATCTGGATATTTAAAATAATTAATATTATATTAAAGTCAGTATAAACTCATCCTCTCTGTCAGTTCAGGTTAAACTATTGGCTCTTTAATTTGTTTTGGTTATTTTTCTTTTTCACAAAGCTTTTGTGAACAAAAATCTGTCAAACTAAGCTGCTTTGTTTTTTCCATTATTTGATTTTCTTCCTAAAATAAAATCTCATTTGATCCTCATTTAAATTTCTACACATCATAATAAAGTTTTTCACTGATTAAATTAAAAAGCTGAATTCCTCCAGTAGACAGTAACTGGTTTCTGGTCCCAGTTTGTCCAACCAGAACCATTTCCTGATTCTCATCGTCTTCATTAAAACAAACCAGGAGTTTGATGACTTTTATCTCTGATGTGAATAAAATCAGATTAAAGGTTCAAACAGAAACTGGAGAGTTAAAGTTTCAGACGACACGAATATGAAAAACTAACTAAACATGTTTAAAATGTTAAACTGTATTTCAGTGACTGTTCATCGTTCCTGCAGTGAATCTGTTGGGTTCGCAGCGTTGCCATGGCAACCTGAAACAGGAAACTGGACGACCTCAGAGTCTGTTAGCGTCAGTTAGCAAAAAACCACAAACTGCTGCAAAGAGTCAGAGGAGCAAAGTTTAACTTTAACCTGCTGAAATAAACTAAAGACTAACAGAGACGAACTGGAATTATTTAGTTTTTAATTAAGTTTGGATCAAACATTTTAGCTCATTTTATGTTAGAAATAAAATGAGCAAAATAAAAAAATCTCACATCACAACATGAAAATATAATATATTAGAAACAGGAATTTCATTTTGATCCAATACTTTATAGTATTTAGGTGATTAAAAGGTTTATTGATATATTAATATAACTGATTAATTCATAATAGTGACACATTTTCTTGTGATTCAAATATTTAAAATTGGAAAACTATCAACCTTTATTTGTCTGGAGTTTTTGCATAAAATATTTGAACATCTAATTGATAAATGAATTTATTCTGACTAATAGAAACTCAGTTTCAGTTCTTTAGTTTTTAACAGATGAAACAAAACAAACATTTTTACCTTCATTTGATTTGTTTCTCTTTTCTTCCTGCTGTGATATTTTAACATCAGTGTGAGTTAATCTGTTCTCTTCAACCTCCTGGAGACCTGAAAATAAATTATTTATTAATTAAAACATGAGACTTTTTCAAATATATATAAACTAAAATGAAAATATAAAAACTCAGACTTAAAATAACTCGGAGTTATCAGCTGATAACTGATCTCACCTTTAGATTTCCTCTTAATGTGACGTTTGACCAGCAGAACCAGTAAAACCAGTAGAACCAGAACAAAACCAGCTGATAGAGACGAGAGACCATAGAGGAGAAACTGGGAGGAAGATGAAGATGATGATGATGATGGAGGAGGAGGAGTTGATGGGGACGATGTGGTTGATGGTTTCTCTGAAATAAAGTTTTTATTAAATAATTGCCCATCAATTTCTAATGAAAACCAAAGTTAATATTTTCATCCTCTGACCTTCCACAGAGATCCAGCTGGATGGAGACTCTCCCTGACCGCTGATGCTGCACTTATAGAGGCCTTCATCAGAGCTGGAGCCATGGAGGAGGGTCATGGGACCTGATGGTCCATCACCAATGAAGGAGCCATCTTTATAGAAAGCAGCTGGGAGGTTGTGGGCTGGACTCTTTGCTCTGCAGCTCAGAGTGACGTCATCTCCCTCCATCACAGGGAGGACAGGACTCTGCAGGATCACTGATCCACCTCAACACAGAGACAAACTACAGCATTTCATCCATTTCCACACAGCAACACTAACTCCACAGTCTGATCTTACCAGAGACAGAGAGCTGGATGCTGCTGCTGCTGCTGGAGGATCCAGACATGGACTCACACCAGTACAGGCCAGTATCATCTGGCATGATGTAGGTCATGTTACAGGAGGAACCATCAGCTTCTCCCCATCCATCTTTACACTCAGACAGTTTCCTGGTTGTGTTTCTCCTCACAGTTCCTCCATCAGAGCTGTTTTCATCCTCACAGATCAGAGTCACTGATTCTCCTCTAAAGAACTGAGATCTGCTGGGACTCACAGTCAGACGAACTGGGAGGACTGGAAGAGATAAAGAACACACCTATTATTCCAGCAGTTATTCTTTATTTCTTTTCAGAAAATTGATCCAGAAACATTTTTAAATATTTTCAAATATTTTAAGTGAAACATTACCAACCTTGACCTGATGTCCAGAACAGCAGTGAGATCAGAACTGAAATTAAATAAAATTTTTATTTTAAAATTATGAGTTTAATTATGGCTCTTGACTTAATGTAATGTTTTGATTGTTGATTCTATGTTGCATGACTTTGTATTTTTGTTTTTGTTATGATGTAAAGCTCTTTGAAATGCCTTGGTGCTGAAATGTGCTATACAAATAAAATTTTATTGATTGATTGATTGATTTAAAAAACCTTTGAGTTTTAACCAACATCAGATTCTCTACATAAATGTGAATCTTTTATAAAGTTGACCTTTAAAGTATCTTAAAAACTTCTTGTGCTAGTATTTCAATTTACAGATGTTTTTCTTGAATACTTAATTTTTTTCTGCTGTCAGTCTGACTTTGCAATGACATCACACTTTTTATTGCATCGTATTTACATAAAATATAGTCTCACATTCAAACCAACTTTTCTGGTTGGATTCTGGATATTACATTAATTTCCATATCAGTTATTAAACATTATTTCTGTACTTACAGATCAGACGCTGAGCAGCTGCTTCCTTCATGGCTCTGACTTTGACTGAACCGTTTCACTAGAGGAGAGTTAGAGGAACCACCAGAGTCCGCCTCTTCCTTTACATGTTAAGGTTTTAGCATGTCTTTCTTCCAGATAATGCTACAAAATGCAAAGAAACATAGAATTTTATAATATTTTTATTCACTATTCAAAAATTACTACATCCATTTATCATAACTGCTGCCTCGCATTGTCTGATTTTAGATGACCATGAGTTCTGTGGTGGAAAATGTTAATACATAATGACTTTGTTGATAATACAATGTTCTTATCACAATCCCCACTTTTGATTATAATGTAATATTTTATGTTAATCACATCAAATTTTATTCCCACAGGTCTTATAGTTTTGCAGCAGTGTTCTCTACAGCAGGACGGTTTGTTTGATCTTTTTCTTGCCATAAACTTTAATCGTTATCCTTCCCTCTTTATGGTCCGTCATGTTTTCTTCTGATTGTCCATCATTTACAGCAAGTTCATGTCTTGTATATTTCTTATAATTTTCCCTTCTTTTCTTTTTTCCTTTGTTGCAGTTGTGGCAGCACTAGATGGAACTGATGAATATTATGCAACTTCACAGTTCTTGGACCCAAAAAATAAGCAGCTCAGCAATGCCACCCAGGGAACAGTGGCAGAGCTAGACTTTTAAACTTGGGGGGCCCAAATTATATATGTTACACTGAGAGGTGTGGTGTGGAAGGAAAACTCAACACCACACCTTGTTCACATTCAGAGTGAGACCAGCATTCTGGATCCTTGCCATTACAACCTTTAGATGCTGTAGGTGATTCTCCCAAGTTTCACTGTAGATCACATCATCATCCAGGTAGGCAGCAGCAAACTTTGAACAGTCACTAAGGATAATGTCCATCAACCTTTGAAAGGTAGCTGGTGCTCCATGAAGACCAAAGGGCAGAACCGTGTAATGGAATAAACCCATTCCTGGAATCTGAAAGGCTGTGTATTCCTTACAGGATGGATCTAAAGGAACTTGCCAGTAACCTTTACATAAATCTAAGGTTGTGATGTATTTGGCCTTCCTCAGTCTTTCCAGTAGCTCGTCAATGCGTGGCATTGGATAAGAACCAAACCAGGAAATGCTGTTTAACTTTCTTAAGTCAGAACAAAAATGTAGTTGAGTCTTTTTTAGGAACCAGCACAATGGGATTTGACCACTCACTTCTTGATGGCTCTATAACTCCCATTTCCAGCATCATCTGGACCTCTTTTCAGTGGATCCATCATTCTTTCTGGAATCCGGTAAGGCTTAAGACGAACAGGTGTTGTATCTTTCAAAGTTATTTTGTGTGTTATAATTTCAGTTCGCCCAGGTACATCTGCAAACAGAGATGGAAAAGACTGTTTAATCTCACCCAGCTGTTGCCACTGATCAGGAGTCAGATGCTTAGGAG